TTTATTTGAATGATTTGGGTGAAAGAAATGGGTAAAGAAAATGGTTTTTTATTAATATTCACAATTAGAGGTTTTCATGCCACGTTGGACACATACCTGGCCAAAAAATTAAATCTTCAGTCTCCTATTAGCGAGGTGCATAGTTAACGAAGAAAATGAAAGTTTAAGGTTATGATATAATTCTCGCAAAATTATACATTAGGCCAAAAATAAAATTTTAAAAAGTTTCAAAATAAACATTAATATTTACAATCAATGCATCAACAACACAATTGATTCTTCAAAAATAAACTAAAGCAAAACTCATTCTTATCAAAACTGGTAGAGGAAAGAATAAAATAATAACTAAATTAGGGCACCAGGAATTAATATGGTTAATTTCATTGATGATCCTCAATTTAGGGCTACTACATTTAATTGTGTCTGTGCTTCAATTTGTAATTTAAAAATGCTCAAACTTTAATTGAGCGCTGTGTTTACACTTCAATTTATAATTTAAAAATGCTCAAACTTTAATTGTGTAACATAAAAAAATGCCTTTAGCGTTTCAATTTATTTTCCGGTGCCGGAGTGCAACGTGAACAATATGTGGCATATAAAAAACAAAAATATTATCCACATGCCGTATTATATTTTTTAATAAAATTCTACATAATAAAAAATATTTGAAAAATAAGAAAAAAAACTTTCAAAAATATTTTCCAGTTGGTGGAGCATTGCCACCGAATGCTCTAGCTCCTTGTTGGCATTTGAAATCCCAAATCCATCTGAGAAAAATTGCTAAAAAACCAACAAGGACTTTGGCAAATGTTAAACCAAACAAAGAGGAATATGCAATCAAAGAACTATTATATGCACAGTCAATCCACCAAATGCAGCTCTAGCAAAACCACCATAACCACCACCAAGCGCAGCAACCGACAATCCTGCGCTACTTGAACACAAGCCACCAAACAAAAATAAATACATGAAAAATGAAAAATCATAGATCCTACTGTAAGAACCGAAACCACAACCCCATTTCTTTTCTTCCTTAGTTTTTTTGAATGCTTGACTTATCTAGCTGTATCTTTTCACCTTCAACTTGACAAGATTAGAACAATCATCTCCAATGGCTTCAGATTTCTAACAAATTGTCCAAACATAGTCTTTCAAATTTGGCCTTGAAAATCAACAAGGAATCTAATGGAAGATTAAGATAACAGGAAACATGTGATACCTACTGCAGGACTCAAGGTGGTCGAGAAATGGTGTTGTTCACCTGTAAATCAATATTACAGGAGAAGGCTTCGAATCGCGCAGGATAACCTTCGATTTATAAAAGGAAGGCTTCGATTTAATAAAAGGAAGGCAGAAATTGTTGCGTGAATTGAGATAACTAAGAAACCGAAAGCACAGAAGAGAAATAGTGGAGCCTGTATTATTTCATATTAATATGAAGAAAAGGAACAGATGCCTTTTATAGGCATTACATAACAACTGAACATTAAAATAGCCTAAAAACATCTGCTAAACTAAATCATAGCAGATAATCTTTTATTCCCCACTACAAAACAGTAACATAAAATCAAGGAACTAAATCCAGTCAACTAAAGGCTCCACTAACTTAATTTTGAATCAAAATCTTCACATGCCCTCTTGATTCAAAATCACAGAGCCAAGTTGGTTGTCCAAAATGCCCAATTGTTGTCCAAAATAAACATGTTTCAGCTGAGATAGAGATTTAGTAAATAAGTCTGCAACTTGATCATTTGTACCACAAAATTCCAACTCTATTTTTCCATTTGCTACCAACCTTCGAATGAAATGGTGCCGAGTTTCAATGTGCTTTGTTCTGCTGTTGAAAGCTGGATTCTTTGCCATTGCTAAGCTGGATTCTTTGCCATTGCTATTGTGCCTTTGTTGTCACAATAGATTTTAGTTGCTGCCACTTGCTCTTGGCCCAAATCAACCAAAACTCGCCTAAGCCACACTGCTTGACATGCTGCAGAAGTTGCAGCAATATACTCCACTTCCGAAGACGACAAAGCAATAGTATCCTGCTTCTTTGAGCTCCATGAAATGGCACCTGAACAAAGACTGAAATTGTAACCTGAGCTACTTCTTCTATCATCCAAAGAGCCAGCCCAATCACTATCAATATAGCCAAATAATCTGAAATTTGATACTGTACCAGATTCCAAATTCAACAGTTCCAGCAACATATCGCAATACCCTTTTTGCAGCTCCAAGATGGTGCTTTGTTGGACTATGCATAAACCTGGACAAGACACTACCAGAAAATGCGATGTCAGGCCGTGTATGAGACAAATAATTCAGTCCACCAATCATTCTCCGAAAATAAGTTGCATCAGCCTTCTCTGTCCCATCTTCAACTTTTCATTTTTCATTTAAATTCATCGGAGTTGAAGCCACATTGCAATTCACCATGCTGAATTTTTTTAGCAAATCTTTTTAGCAAATCACTTGCATATTTTTGTTGTCCAACAAAAACTCCATCTGCACATTGTTTCACCTCAAGTCCAAGAAAGTATTATAGTAACCCCAAATCTGTCATCTCAAATCTTCTCATCATAGAAGATTTAAAGTCAGCAATAAGACATTCATTGGACCCAAAATAAATCATGTCATCAACGTAAACACAAACAACAAGAAATCCAGCTTTGACTTCTTTTTTCAAATATAAAGTGGGCTCATTTTCACTTCTAACAAAACCATTCTCACAAAAGTAGTTGTACCAAGCTCGCGGTGCTTGCTTAAGCCCATAGAGAGCTTTTCTCAATCTGAGAACTTTATCCTCATGATCATTTTCAACAAAGCCTTTAGGTTGAGAAACATAAACGTCTTCCTCCAAATCTCCATTTAAAAATGCAGACTTCACATCAAATTGATCAAAATTGAAAAACAGGAAGGAGATAATTGAGCAGCTACAGCAAGCAATTTAATCTTACAGTTTCAAGACGAGCAACTGGGTAGAGAATTGTTTCCTCGAAGTCGATACCTCGTTGTTGGGCATTACCCCCTTCCGCTACAAGCCGGTTGCTTTATGCTTTTTGACACACTTTCCCGATCAGCATGGTACTTGGTTCTCAGAAACCCATTTACCCGATAGCATCATTCCTCTGTAGGCAATTTACAATTCCAGGTATATTGATTTTCTGAATTGCAAGCTATCTCTTCATTTCCTATAGCATTTTCCATTATCTTTCCATTGTTGCTGCACTCCTCATAATTGTTGCTGCCTCCTCATAGAATATTGGATCTGAAACATTCAAAGCAAAAGAACAAGTTTCATATATTTCTCTCAAGGATCGGGTCTTCCTTGGAGGAGTTTCAATCGATGAGGAAGAGCTTGAGTTGATTGGACTGGAAGAATTTGAGTTGTTTGGACTTGATGAGTTGCTACTAGTTGAATTTGACGATAAAAAATCAGCAACATCATTTGATGGTGAAGAATCAGCAACATCATTATCTAAAACTGGAGCTTGGTCTAAATTCTTAGCATTTCTCCAATCACATTCTGCATCTTCATTAAAAACCACATTTCTGCTAACAATAATTTTGCCACTTAAAGGATTATATAGACTATATGCCTTGGATTGAGAACAATAGCCAACAAAAATGCATTTTTCAGACTTTTCATCAAGTTTGTAGCCAACAAAAATGCATTTTTCAGACTTTTTCATCAAGTTTGTGGCGAGATTGAGAATTAATTAAAGCATAGGCTATACAACCAAAAATTTTTAAGTGACTTACACGTGGTTTTCTGCCTTTCCAAGCTTCATATGGTGTTTTATTCATGACAGCCCTGGTTGGAGAAATATTCAAAAGATACACCGCAGTTGCAACGGCTTCAGCCCAAAAAGAATTTGGAAGACCCTTGGCTTTGAGCAAGCTTCTGGCCATCTCCACAACAGTTCGATTCTTTCTCTCGACAATACCATTCTGCTCTGGTGTGTATGGTGCGGTGAGCTCCCTGTGAATGCCACATTCTTCATAAAAAATATTAAATTCTATAGAATTAAATTCACCACCTCTGTCTGTCCGGAGACATTTGACACGGCTGTCCAGCTGATTTTCTACCAAGTTCTTAAATTTCTTGAATGTAACAAGAGCTTCAGATTTACACTTCAAGAAATAAACCCAATTCATATGGCTATAGTCATCAATTAACAATAAAAAATATCGATTACCACCAAATGATTCAGTTTGCATGGGTCCACACAAGTCCGCATGTATCAATTCAAGACAACTATCAGCCCTCCATGATTTTCCTACAGGATTTCTTACTCTTTTCTTTTTTTTTATGTTTGCCCAAAACGCATCCTTCACAAAAAACTCAACAGATTTCAATCTTGGGTATTAACCCATAACCCATATTTTTGCTGACTGAACAAAAACTTCAAACCCTCTTTTCATGTAATGCCCATAACCAAAATGCCACAAATTATATTCATTCAATTTTACTAACTAGCTATAAGAGCAGTGTTTTCCACGGAAAGCACTCGTAGTGGAAAACATTTTGTTTTGATGTCATTGGAACATTAACAATGGTATGACCAGTTTTCTTATCTTTCAATACAAATGGTTTCATCAACACAATTCTATACCCAATAGTCATCAATTGCCAATACTTAACAAATTTATAAACCAAGCTAGGAGCAAATTGCCACATCATTTAAAAGTTAGTATTATCGGTGGCGAGTATTAGATGGCAATCTGTACCCTTTCCCTTCCACCTTTTTTTGATTACATCACCTTATCACATTTTTTTTTTTTCCTTCTCATTACAGCCCAGCCGGTCTGTTTTTTTCTTTGCTCATACAGTTGCACGTGTTTAACATAATTTGCCGCTTTGTTCGCTAACATGTGATTAGAGCACCCTCACTCTCAGTTCCAAAAACCAGTCCAACAGCCATTTGTAGCATTTTTTATCAATCGAATGACCATGAAAAAGCATACTCTCTTCTTCTTCCAGCAACATTGGGCGATGCTTTCCTTCATTTTGTTTGCTTTCCTTTCATTCCTTTGCTTGGTCCAGTGGTCCAGCAATCAGCTTCTTTGTGGCCGATTTTGTCACAATAATAACATTTGATTAAATTATCTTTGTATTGTCGTTGTTCTCCAGAACGTCCTCCTCTTCCACGGCTCCCGCCGCGACCTCGACCACGATAACCACCACGAAAATTGCCTCTATTTGAAACTTTGTCATGTGATTTACTATAAGAGGACTCTCCTTTCACTTGAAAAGCTTTTTCTTCAATTTTTGTTGATGATTTATTTATCCTACTTTCATGAGCTTGCAAAGAACCCATTAAATCATCAAAAGAATAAGCAGATAAATCTTTCGACTCTTCTATTGCAGCGACCACATGATCAAATTTAGGAGACAGACTTCTCAAATGATCAAATTTAGGAGACAGACTTCTCAATAATTTTAAAACCACAGTCTCATCAGTAATTTTTTCGCCATATGCTCTCATTTGAGAGATAATTTTAGAAGCCCTTGATAAATATGCTTGAACAGACTCAGAATCACCCATTTGAAGTGTTTCAAATGTTCTTCTACAAAGAGATTGAAGTTTTACAGTGATTACCTTTGAGCAGCCTTGAAATTCATTTTTCAGAATCTGCCATGCTTCTTTAGAGGTGGCTGCTGCTGAAATATGAGAGAAAATCTCATCTGATACAGCTTGTTGAAGGAAGAACAGAGCCTTTGCATCCTTCTTTTTGTTTTCTCTAAGCTTTTGCTCATTTTGCTCATCATCGGGGTCTTCATACCCATTCTCAACTAGCTCCCACAATTCTTGCGAAATAAACATAGTTCGCATTTTTAAGGCCCAAAATTCATAACTCTCACCCTTAAAGAGAGGAATTAAGGGTTGAGTTGAAGTAGCAGTGCCATTTACTGCCATTTGAAAGGTTTGCGTGAACCGCTCTTCTTTCCCTCACTTTTTTTTTTTTTAATTCTCTCCTCTACCTGCCCAAATAATGGCTCTGATACCAGAAATATGTTGGTGAATTGAGATAACTAAGAAACCGAAAGCACAGAAGAGAAAGTGGAGCTGTATATTTCATATTAATGAAGAAAAGAATAGAGCCTTTTATAGGCATTACATAACAACTGAACATTAAAAATAGCCTAAAAAATCTGCAACTAATCTATAGCAGATAATCTTTTATTTCCCACTACTAACAGTAACATAAATCAAGGAACTAAATCAGCAACTAAAGGCTCCATAAAGGCTCCACTAACTTAGATTTTTGAATCAAATCTTAAACCAGAAATAGATCACCATTTGTGAAAAGAGATTGATTGCTGTCCTCAGACGGTCGGTGGTGATCGTGAGAGCGGGGGATTGGTGATCGGAGAGCGGGGGAGAGGAGATCTAGGTTGCGATTGATGTTAGAATGTTTCCAGAGCCTTTTGCTCTTTCTCTCTCTCTCTCTCTTGTGATCATTATTACTTAAAAATATTTTTAAAATAAAAAAAATAAAATATGCCACTTGGACAATACGTTACTTTTTTACATGCCACGTGTTATCCGCGGGGCTTTCTGATGCTGAAAAATCAATTGAAACAACTGAAGGTATTTTTCATGTTACATAATTGAGGTTTACGCATTTTTAAGTTATAAATTGAAGTTTAGGCACACTTAAGTGTGGAGGCTCTAAGTTGATACACCATCAGTGAAATTAACTCGAAATTAATAATAAAGAATAAGATGGATAAAATAATTTTGGATTAAAATCTCAATAACTAAGAATTCAATATTGAAATTTAGAAACTGCAAATTATAATTCAATAGAAAGAAGGAAACATAAAAGGAAACTAAGCCCCAAAGGCAACCAAGCCAAGGAACAAAAGTTTCTCCACAGAAATAAATCTATCAATGGGAATAATCTCCAAAGATTATTCCTCTCGGGTACTGCTTATGCTTTATATCATTGTTCTCTCTCTTCAGTGTAACTAATTAGGCCAGCTTTCCCTTCTTCATGGGCTTATTCTCCGCATAAAAGCCTCAGGTTGTTCCTCATGTTGATGCCAATTTTTGCCCTCCTTGGGTACATCTTGAAAGGCTTTGAATTGGGCCCATTCCTATTAATACCACTTGCTGGGAGAGCAACTTTGTCCTCAAGGCTGAAACTTAGAAACTGACTTAGCATATCTGCCTCATCAATCCAAGTAGACTCTTCTGCAGAGCAACTTTGTCCTCAAGGCTGAAACTTAGAAACTGACTTAGCATATCTGCCTCATCAATCCAAGTAGACTCTTCTGCTAATTTGTCCACCCACTAAACCAAAACTTGTTTGATAATCTGATTGTCTATAGAAATGGAATGAGTCTAAATCACTTTTTCTATCTCAGCCAAAGGTTCCTCACTAACTAGCAATTGTGGAGGAAGTTTTGAAATTGGTTTATGACTACCCACTACTTTCTTCAATTGAGACACATGAAAGACTGGGTGTATGCGAGAGGAAGGAGGTAGTAGAAGCTTATAAGCAATAACTCTGACCTTACCTATAACCTCAAATGGCCTGTAGTAACATGTTGCTAGCCTAGCATTAACCCTTGAGATTGCTGATTGCTGCCTATAAGGTCTGAGCTTGAGGATTATTTGATTTCCTACTTGGAATTGAACATCATGATGACGATGATTGCATATTTAATCATCAATTGTTGAGCATGAAGAAGATTAAATTTCAGCTGATGAAGAATCTCATCACAATCCTAGAGATAAGAAGAGACTTCCTCCACACGAGCTTCACTTGGAAGAAATTATTGCATGGATGGAGAGAGTCTCCCATAAACAATTTCAAATAGTCTTTCCAGCAGCTCCTTGAAAACTAGCATTGTACTAATATTCAGCCCACCCTAGCCATTTAGACCATGTTCGAGGCTGCTTCGAGCATAAGCAACGGAACTAGGACTCTAGATTCTATTTAAAACCTCAGTTTGATCATCGGTCTGAGGGTGGTAAAAACTAAACTTGAGTTATGTACCATGCAACCTAAAGAGTTCCTTCTAGAAATTGCTAAAAAAGTGTGGATCACGGTCGTTGATCATAGTCTTAGGAAATCCATCTAATCGGATAATTCTTAGCTATAAATAACTCAGCTACTGGCTCTGCGGTGAAGGGATGAGCAAGGAGAGGAAGTGAGCATTCTCTGATAGTTTATCAACCATTATCAAAATGCAATCAACACCATTTGAGAGAGGCAGGCCTGAAATGAAATCCTGCTTTATTTCTTCCTATATCATATCCAGTATTGGTAAGGGTTGTAGTAAGCCAACTAGAGATATGGTCTCATATTTATGTTGTTAACAAGTGAGGCAAGTCGCAATAAACTTTTGAATCATATCCATCTTGTCGACCTAATAGAGTGCAATATGTCTTAGAATGATTGGCGATACCTAATAGAGTGCAATACCTAATAGAATGCCTTAAAAAAATAAGCTCCCTGTAATTCATCTAGCAGCTCTTGAATCATCCGAATGGGATATTTATTCGGAATTGTTACTTTGTTTAACTGGCTATAGTCGATACAAAAATGCCAACTTCCATCTTTCTTGCGGACTAGTAATATCGGGCTACAGAAACGGCTTTAGCTAGGTTGTATGATCCCAGTGGGCAACATCTTAGCAAGAAATTTCTTGGTTTCATCCTTTTGTAAATGACCATAGTGGTAGGGCATGACATGCAGAGGTTCTTGCTCAAGCTTTAGAGTAATTTCATGATCAGTAGCCCTTTGAGGAGGAAGAGACTTGATATTTCCAAAGATTTCTAAGTATGACTATAGGAGTTATTGAATTCCTTAATTATTATGATCATGACTATAGGAGTTATAATTCCTTAATTATTATGATCATGAAGTTCACTATCAGTTAAGATGAAAAGGAGGCATCAAAAACAATTCGTATAATAGACAGCCGAACTAACATCCAATCGTTTTATGAAGGGACTATAATTGCGTCTGAACTTTGGTTAAGGACGGATCGCCATTTAAGAGAATAGGCTTGTCAATGTAAAGGAACTTCATGTACATTTTAACCTAGTTGATTTGTATTTCCCCCCAGGTTTTCCAGCCATGCTAGCCCTATAATGAAGTTAACATCATTAAGGAAAAGACATAAAAGTATGCTTTGATCACATAATTATTCTTTGATCACATAATTATTAGCTTGAATTTGAAGTTGTTTGTAAACTCCAAACGTAGTTACCCTGCAACCATCACCCAAACAAACAAAGTAGGAATGAGAATTACCTTGAGATTGAGCCTACATACTAGTTAATCGAAGATAAAACTATGAGAAGCGTCACTATCAACAATAATGATAGTTTTATGGTATCCAACCTAAGCTATAATCTTCATCGTCTAAGACCTATAAATCCCCCCAATAGAGTACATAGGGAGCTTTAGATTGGAAAAATGTGTACCATCCCAATCAATATCAATAGAAAATGCTTGTAATGTTGACAATTTTACATGGAAATAAACTTCAAATCATCCCACTTCAACAATTCCCATATTAGCGAGGAGAAAGATAGAAAAATAAAGGTTACAAGAATTAATGTTTATCAAAACTATATGGCTCAACATAAAAAATTGGTCCACCCATTCCACGTGGCTGCCTGAGTTCGAGAGTTCTGCACCATTCGAGTTGAATTTCAAATGTTATATTACATTTTTTATTTCAATAATTAAGGCCATTTTAGTGAAAAATAAGACACCTAAATAGGAAAAGGTAATTCTTAATCCACTTTAAAATTTCTAACAATGAGTCCAATAAATTAATAATATACATCTACAACTTAGCTTTAAAACACGATTAAGAGAGAATTAATATATCTAGTTTATAATTAAAACGAGAGAGGATAATATATTAAAAATATAATAATTAGAATTATAATTATAATTATTATCATTATTATTGTTATTTTAAAAGAGAAAGTATAATATTTTTTATGAAATAATGATAAATTATTACCATAAAAAGTAATTATAAAAATATAAAATCAAAATTTGATCGAGATTAACTGCGACCTAGTTGTCAAGTTGGTTCAATATTCTATCCAATTTTAAATAAAATTATTTATTATTATATCAATGACATAAAAATAATTATAAGAATAAAATACAAATATCACCGAATCATTATAATTTTTTTAATTATAAATCATATTTGAAAATTAACAACAATAATATATTTATCAAAAAATGTATGAAATTACCTTTCAAGCATGAATAAATTTGAATAAAATTAATTTTAATTTTGATTGCAAATTACCTTTCAAGCATGAATAAATTTGAATAAAATTAATTTTAATTTTGATTGCCATAAACCATAAGTTATCTAATTTCTTTAAGCGATTTGATAAAAGAAATTGGTAAAATGAAATCATACTAATAATTAAAGATAATTGAGTAATGGAGAAGCTTATTTTATTCAAAAGTGAATTGAGTATATATAAGCAGTATACCCAATCAGAGTTACAAGATATTCTCAACAATAAACAACTAGAATATTAAAAATATAATCACAGAAAATCAGCTAATGAAAACTAAAAATAAGGAAGACTAAATCAAAGCTAAAATGTTGGACTTAGTCATAAGTATTTTGAAACAGTTCGATATTACGCCGTCACAAGTTGTGTGGCCGCATCAACGACACCCAACTTGTTAAAAATACATTGAATAGATGACTTGGGAAGTGGCTTAGTAAGAAGGTCAGCTACCTGATCAGCTGAGTGTAGGTGATGAACTTCAATTTCTTTATTTTGCACATATTCCCTGACAAAGTGAAAATCAATTGCAACATGTTTCATCTTTGAAACACCCTTAATTTTTATTTTCGAAACTTTTGAATTATTATTAAATCAAAAATCTGAATTTTCGACTGTCCGGACTGCAA